TTTCCAGCATTTTTTACCTGGAATCTCTATGGATCAATCCGATGTCTCAGCAAGGTCAGCTGGGTCTGGCAGGATAGAATAGGTGGGACACCCCTTTATCCCACCTATTCTATCCTCCCAGACCCATCTCCAGCATTCATTCTGTCTCAAGGACGTGTAGTGGCAACTACTTCAAGATAGCCAGATAAAAACATGCATAATGCATGTTATTCTTGGCGAAGAGCGGAACCTAGAACCTGGAGTTTCTGAGTAGTTATTGTTCAGAGCTGGATTCCAAGTACTGAGATATTCATAAGAGCTTCGCCTTTTAGATGCGCTTTGCATTGCTTTGTTTTTAACATTCTTAGTAGCTTGAAATGTAACTTCTGATTGTACTTTTTGATACTGTGAAGAGCTATGTACCTACTTTTATGGAAAGTTCCAGAACTGGGACGTGATTCTTTTGGTAAAATTAATTTTATTAAGCTCTCATCGGTCCTGTTCGTATTCAATATATTACGAACTCGTACACACGCAACAATACTTATTTTTTCCTGTAACTAAATTCAATATAAATTTTGCTAATAACTTCAGCCATAATCCTTAAAGTAATATAAACATGTATATGAATTTTTGTTTTCGCATTGTGAAGTATATCGCTTCGCCTGAGTTTCAATGGGCAAAAGGAAACAAAAAACAAAATTTCTAAACGCAACTAAAGCGCGTAAATTTCATATTTTCTAGCATCCTCAAAGATCCTAACACTTTACCCTTCGTTAAAGTAATTTACCACGTTTCTCTCTCCTGGAAAACATCCAGGAGACTGGCATATAGGCGGGCAACATCAAGCTGGCGCAATATTCTAATCTGAAATGTGGCAGTTGTCTTGGTGTCACTCTGTATTACACAATTCTAATTCTGTGTAACTCTAAATAAAGATCATAATTCTGTGTAACTCTAAATAAAGATCATAATTCTGTGTAACTCTAAATAAAGATCATAAATATGCTATTTTAAGTTCAGTATTTTAATCCTTTTTTTTTTTTTTTTTCTTCTCTGCTTTATTTTTTAAATATTTACACGAAAAAATTATAAATGATTGTCTTTTCGGACATAACGGTTTATATACGAATAAAAAAGTAATGACTCTTAAAATCTTACTTTTAATTCCTTTTTCGAGCTTAATGGCATTCACACTTGCAATACGAATTTTTACACTTTGCAAGTTTATCATTAAAACAATGTAATCAAAAATTGCTCCGTCTCCATAAAGTGTAAACAAATACAAGAAAGATGAGAAACAACGAAACGAAAACTCGTAATAATACTGTAATTTGATCTACCTAAGAAGACGTTTGATACGAAAATGTAAACAACGAGTATGATTCCATTATATCAATGTATGGTTTAAAAAATTAAAGTATTTGATCCCTTTCAAGTTTTTCAAAATGATTAAACACATATTTTTTTGTGTCATGATATACAAAAGTTAGTCCATATCAAAATGAGTATATAAATAAATGTATTATTTTACATATCTTCGTGAACTGGAATCCGAAGTCTTCTTCGTATACCTTTGCTCTTTCCTCCCGCCAGGAATTTTACAATGATCCGGAAAAACTGGAACTATCATTACGCCCTAAAAAATGTTAAGGTTTCATACACATAATTTATTCTCAAAAGCTATTTTAATTAAGAGTTTACCTTAACTTGTGCATTATTTAGTTCCTTCTCTACTTGTTAGAAAAGAACTTTTAGAGCATTATATTTTAACAACATATCAGCAATCATCGTTGATTTACCAGCAGTTTTAGTTGTCTGCCATAAACATGTATTCATAAGAGGTTTATTCAGAAGTTTTTTTTTTTTTTTTTTTTTTTTTTTTTTTTTCAATGGCGGGTACTTGCCTGTGCCGGCATCGGCCACTCCTAAGGCCAGATGTGGTGGTCTCGTTATTATGGAGGCACCTAATAGGTGGGCCATCTTTGCCTCCTATGAAGGGACAGACAATTACATCGATGTCTTTTCCAGGATTCGAACCCGGGACCTTCGGTATCGCAGTCAGGCTTTCCTAACCCTTATACCGTCTGGGCGGCCGTTTGCTCATAAGTTGCTATTCGTATGTGAAATATATATTAGATTTTATCATTTTTGTCTTTAAGTAAGCTATTGTATTTTTATTTTCATTAATATCAGAATATGTATTATCAATTTTGAGTAATTGGATAGTTTTAGATGTTTGACAAATTTTTGCTCCATGTATACCACCTTGTATATAAATATTTTATTACCTGTTTGCAATGTGATAAGCGAAGATAAGTGTTAAAGTATTCTGTACACTGTATCATGAGATTCGAGACATATAGAAAAGATGGAACAGTTTTTACTTAAAATTTATTTTTTCTATATTCAGTACTCAAAATTTCACAATTACTGTACATCTAAACTGATATTTACACAAATTTACATAAGAAAACAACTACACATGAAATGAAACAAAAATGTTATGAAAATTTCGTGCTTTTGAGTTCATGAAATTTTCTGGAAAAGTTCTACATTTTTGCATAAAAGGGACATAAAGCATTCGAAAAACAGTTTATCTCCCAATTTTTCCAATTCTGTTTAAAAATTAACGTAAGTCATTCGCCTTGTTTCACTTAACTAACCTGTTGTACTGTGTGACGCTATTAAAATTTGACTAAACTTTGCTTTAATTAAATTCTCTTTCCCATATTTCTGACGATTTGATAATGCTAAGTAAACATACATACAACATGGGTTCATTGAGGTGAGATTTACAGATTTAAAATTAAAAGAAGGTTTTTAAATATCTTTGTAGTACTAATCTGAAAGTAAAGAATGCCCCAAATTCACACAAACTTTAAAATTTTCCAATTTAAAGTAATAGCAATTAGGATAGCTTTAATGAGTAGGAACATCTGCTAATTTATCGATATCATTCCACTTTAAATAATATATTCTCGAGACTCAAAATAAATTATATGGAAAATGAAATAATCTGTAGTCATTAGGACTATTTCGTTTTCTTTGCAAATTATTTATTTGCAAAGGAAATGATATCTCTGGAACATTCCAGAGAATTAATTCCTTTCTCTGGCTACTAAAGAGCTCACCTATCATTTGGTGAGGTTATAATTAAATTATTAAAGGTTTACAATTATTGCATTAGTAATATGTTATACAGTCAAACCTGAGATCCTAGATGTTCTCAAAAATTTCAAATGAATTAAATACCTGAAATTTACTCAATGAAAAGCGAACAAGTTGAGTCATATAATAAATACCACAGTCCCCTTTATAACTAAAATGTTCTTATTGTTTATTTCTTGTTAAAGTTACAGCAGGTCTTCTGGTAGGACCTTAGTCTGTGTCTGAAATTATATAGACTGAAAAGTCTTTACTTTGAATCAGACTGAGATAAGAAAACTTAAAATTTTAATGTTAATTAATTACTTGTAAATATGAATAAGTTTACTTTAGAAAGTCTGAGATAAGCATTCTTAAAAATTTAATATTAAATGCTTCTAAATATCAACACTTTGACTTTAGAAAGTCTAAAACAAAAGATTTATTTCTTCCGAGATAGCTGTACAAGGATTTGCAATCATTAATTGATGAACCGACTTGTTAGAGAAACTTGTGAGGCTTTTCTTTTTAGGGGGGGGGAGACGACTAGCAACATAAACAGATTATTGAAAGCGTGTGAAGCTAAATGAAGCATCTTACATGTGTATATTACTTAACACATTAAGATACAAACATGTTTTATTGCCATAAAATTTTATCCCCAATTTAGTTTCGAACTTAGATCTCCGTCCTGTAGATATGAAGTATTTATTTTCTAGCCTTAATTTCTTTACATTTAAGAGGATCAAGGATATTTTTTTTATTTTATCTGAGATCAGTACGTATTGTTAATTTTAATTTTTGTTTTCTGTCTTTCTCCCTCCTGATAATAAACGAAACTCTTAGTTGAAATATCTTTTCGAAATTGATTTTTTATGTTTTAGTATGTTGTTTCCTTTTGCTAACAATAACTTATAAAATCTCGGAAAAAAAAAAAAGTTCAACATGAAAGACTTACGTAAGTGCTCGATTGAATTAAATGTATTATTAACAGTTCTTCCGAGTTGTAGAAAAGAGTAAAACTGCGCTTTTTTTAATATGTAATATTTCTGTAAAAGTAGGAAAAAAACATTTGCATAATATATCTCTATGAATCAAGTGAAAAATAAATTATATTAATCACATTTGTGATAGGGTTTCAATTCTGAAAAATGATCGATCCTGTTTCTTATAAAGGTGAGAGAACCCACTGACATATATATGTCTCATTAACAAGAAATTTTAAATAAAATATCATCAGATTTCTTTTTCGAACTGTTGCCTCATTTGATAGATGAATTTCGTGGTTTTTTACTTTATTCGGATGAAAGACGTTCTTCATTGATAATTCTTCTCACTTCATGTAGTCTTAATATTGCATGAATTAATATAGAAGAGTAACAAACTCAACTCAAAAGCAGATTTTAGAATTCAAATGGATTACTACATATGCAGTCTGTATCTCTGAAATTTAGCTGCATACTCTTTAAATTATTATCCCTGGAAAGTTTTTATATATAAATCGCACCACAAACTAATGCACTGAAACATTTTCCAAATACGTATGAATTAAAAGCAACTTTCACGTAAATAAAGTGTTTTTCTTTAAAAAATCTCACTAATCAACATTACATATATTTGACACATTATCGAGCCAAAGAACTTTACACGCACGTTAATACGAACTGGTCATGACATTAAACAAGCTCTCCACCCATTTATCCCTTTGCTCCTCTATGTGAGATTGGCGTATCCAAAGGGATTTGGTTTTCGTTCAGAGGGAACGTCGGGGAACCATTTTTTTTCTCTCTTTTGTTTAGTCACCGGACTGTACTCGATGACCACCTTGGCGATGATGAACTATATACAAGTCAGAGGTCACCGGTACCGCCATGCTAGACTTGTACAGTCACGCCACCTGGCTCATGTTGAGTTGCAAGCTGGGGTGGGAGCAAAGACAGTACAACATTCCACAGCCTGGACAAGATGTCGCTGCTGTCATCGACGGCATCGAGATCGCTGGAAGAAAAAAAAAAAAAAGAAAACATAAAACTCAGGTAGTAGAACATGCTGTTGTTATTGTCAAAGCTTCATCTTTAAGATGGTTCAAGACTGAACGCAAAGGTTCTTAAAAGAACTTTATTTATTTATTTATTTTTCAAAACATCCTTCTTCAAAAAAAGCACAAAACATTTTTCATAAAGAGTTGTTTAGTTATTTTTTGTCGGAAACCTTTTCCTTCCTTCTCGGTCGCAGTTTTTTTTTTTTTTTTTTTTTTTTTTTTTTTTTTTTTTTTTACTAAAGTAGAAGTCATAACGGTACGGGTCGTTGCATTATTCGTTGTGATAGACACTCGTCATTCCCGTGTCATTATGGCGGCAAAATGAGGCGTCTGAGCTTTCAATTTAACAGCTAAAAATTATAGGGTTTTTATTTAACATAATAGAAAATAAGAAATTAACATTAATTATAATTGTTGCAATGATAAGCAACTTTACCTGAATATTCTTTTTTGCGTATAACAAAGAAATATAGTACAGCCCTATTTTCTCAATATTCATTCACAGTGATTTATTTCCATATTATATTGGCAATGGTTAATTAATGTAGAAATTTTATGATATAAAAATTAAATTTCAGTTTAATATAATTTTACTATGATACGGAAGCACGTGACTGTTAATATATTTGAAAGAAATGCAAAAATTAATGGCAGGTGATCATCAGTTTAATACAAGTGAAACGAAAATGGATTTATACTACACTTAAATTTTGTTTTGTAAATTCAGATATTAATGATGTAAAGTGTTCAAATTCAAAGCAGTTTTGATTCGAGTTCCTTCTTGATAACCCTTTATTCTTGCTAAAATTCCAAGGAGTAAATATCCTTAAGAAAAATCAAATTCATTATATGAATTCATTAAACTTCAGGAAACATAATAATTATTTCATTCTTTTCGTTAAATTGGGTTTAAAAAGTTTCCCAAAATCATACAAGGGCTTTCTAATTTGAAATTTTTTGGTTTTTCATAGCACTCAGAACCCAATGAATGGTTGTGGGCAACATTTAAATCAATTTTTGAGTAAAATTGTGAAGTTTTGGAGATTATTTACATAACTATATTTTTTATTATCTTATAGATAATTTCCTTTCTATTTCTTCGTTCTTTTCCTTTCTATTTCTATTCTCGCTGCGCTGGAAAAGTGTGACGCATGTTACCGAAAGAAAGAAAGTGTGAAGTATGTGATTTTCAGGCTGTTTCGTTACGGTGGTGCGACACATAGGAAAAAAAAAAAATGATTAGCTAATGATTGAAGTTTTGGGACATTCATTTGCCACAAAAGTTTTCTCAGTCAGCATTGTTATGTGAAATTTGAAAGCAATTTCCAAATGCGATGTAAATCCAGGGTAGATAGTACTTTTTGTAGTTTAAATGGTTAGCATCGATGTTTGCATAGTGGTAAGTGAACTGGCTTCCATAGCTTTGGACCCTAGTTTGAATCCCGGAGAAGCCATGGATGTATGGGTAGCGTATAATGACTTTGCGACATGGAAGCATTAAAATACTTTCGAGCTGAAAGTCCTCTCGAGAGGATGGTAGAAGGAAAAGACGGTTGAGAAATCTTCGGATCCGTTCCCGAGGGATACTTCTTCAAAAATGGTGAGCACATTGCCACTGTCACCTCTAAGGTGCCCTAGGCCTAAACCAGCAACAGGCACAACGTTTGCCTTCTGGCTGCAATAAAATTTGTAGATTTAAACGGATGTTAATCTGAAGTAAACAAGATAAGGCACAAAAAATAGTTAGTGAACACGCTTCGAGAATAAGTCCAGTTGAGTCTCAAGTTCAGTTTAATAACTGGTCTGAGAACTGCTAGTTTGAATTATGTTAGCTTGATTTCATTTATATTATACACGAATCATACTTCGTTTGGCTTTTCTTTTTATTGTAATTTTCGTTAATGCTATTTACTGAATATCTGTGTTTTCTTTAGAAACTTTTCTGTTTGCTAGATTCAAGTCGGCCGTACCTAAGACCAGATTCGTTTTGCTTTATTTATTTAGAAGTCTATAGTTAAGAACTTACTAAGCTAAAATTTCGTTTGTAATACACTGTTGCAGTGTTTATTATAAATTTCTAACCAGCTGTTCTTAATTTGTAACTCTGTCTTGTCTCTTCTGATTCGTATGTACGAAAACGTTTTTTTTTTTTTTTTTTTTTTTTTTTTTTTTTTCTTTTTCTTTTTTCCTCAATTGCCGTTAATGGCATTGGCCACTATTAAGGCCAGAAGTGGTGGCCATTTCATTGTGGATGCACCTAACAGACGACCACCATTACCTCCTATGAAGAAACAGACAATTTTACCATCCCCCCCCCAAATGCCTTTGATCCCGGGCTCTTCGGTATCGCAGTCAGGCTCCTCTAACCACTATACCGTCTAGGCGGAATGTACAAAAACTCACTTCAGAATGAGATATTTAGTTGACATGAAGAGGTTAGGAAATGATAGAAATAGGATACGTTAACTGTGATTTGATAACTTAGCTTTCGATGCCAAACAGGTTTAAGAAAAAGCTTCAGATGATAAGGTGTCATTTCTGAAAACTGAACTTACAACTGTTATTTAATAATCAGGTTTAAAGTAAAGAGATTTGGCGACACAGTGCTATCTGGCGACTTTCCAAATTTTTCAGACATGGATTCAAACTCGTGTTGCATGGTGGTTTTCAGCATGTGTATTGTGAAAGCGGGCCAGCTTCCTTTAATAAGTGGCGCATTTCCTTTGTTTTATTATTTATTCATTTATTTATTTTTGCAGTCACCAGCATGTTGTAACTCTTTCTCCCAATATAATAAATGCTGCAAATTTTCACTTCTCGAAATTTGTTTTGGAAACATTGCAAGCTACATTTGTTTATTGATTTATTGATTTTTCATCTTATTCTGTGCCAGAATTTTAAGGAATTTTTTTTTTAATTAGATGATATATTATTGAGGCTTTATTTTTTCCCAGATTCTTATTTGATGAATCATCTGTGAATTCACGCAAATGAAAACTGCTATTACTTTTTTGTAAATAATTCTACTTTTGAAAGCCATAGATATTTTATTTTAATATTATAAATACATATAAATTAGTCCATGAATATGCAGGGAATTAAGAATTAATAGACTTAACGCAAGAGGTTGTTAAACAGAAAAATCTGATTTCTGAGCATTAAAAAAAATATATATGTTTAAGGGAAATAGTTCAGGGGAAATTATGGTTGATGAAAAATAGGCGAAATCTTCATCTCATCAACTGAAGAAACTGATTCCACTGGACAAATTTGCTCTAGAATATGTTAACTTGTTCTTACTTATCATGTGTATCAGTTTTCAACTTTTTACTCAAGGTCAATAAGCAGACAAGGTTAGACACTTCCCAATATTCGAGTTTAATGATGACATTTCACTTACAGAAGGTGGGAGATAAGATGACACAATTACATTTAGTTCTCCAGTTTGCTTTTCAGTATACTTTGGACCACTTACCTCACACGCTCAAAGATTTCTGCTGAAGGAAAAACAAACCTTGTAGCTAGTAACATTGTTTTTATCACTCTGGTTATGTTTGAACCGTTCAACATTATCTTTGGAATTTACTGAATAGTTATGATTTTAAATAACCACTACATTAGGAAAGATAAGGATGAAATTTAACTTATTAAAAAGTGTTTTTAACAGGCAGAAATTTTTACCGTTAGCTTTCTTTGCTTGATTGTTGAGATATTTCTTTTGCCGTGCCCTCGAGTTCTGAAACCAGACTTGAGTTACTCGTTTGCTGAGACCAGTAATCTGGGCTATTCTTTCTAAATCCTGGCCATCCGGATTCGAATCTAGGTTGAAATTGGCTTGTAGGACTTGAAGCTGCTCCTCCGTGAATGTAGTTCGCACCCGTTTGGTTTTGGCTTTCTGTTGGTGGTCTTGATCTGTGTTTTCTGCATTGAGAGAAAAAAAAAATATTTAAAGAGATTAATTTTAAAGTAAAAAGTATGAAAATAATAAGAATATATAGCAACAGTTGATACATAACATTAATTATTTTCTTTTAAGTAATAGGTCTACGACACTTTATCCGAGAAGCCATCTTTTCCCGTGGTTAAATTTTAAACTTTTATTGAGCATTTTACTTTCACAGGCTTACATTTCAAACTTTCCATTTCTCGCGAATGAAATTTGGTTACCGCTTAAGATGCATTTTGGACAGCATTCTCGGTGATGCGACAGCTTATATGACTGATGAATTTGGCTATTCCTGACGAATTCTTAACTACTAGTAAAGTGTACGGCCACTGGAGGGGGAAAAAATTCCGAAAGCAGAATATCTACCTATATGGCATCCTTATTAGTCTCTCATAAAAAGATTGACAGTATGAGAAATTATTTACAATGAAGTTTTATTTGAAGTTCACAAATTCCTTTACATTGAAATTCAGAAATGCTTTAGAACCTGAACTGATAGCGTAGCATAAATGAAGATAAAGATTTTACTTAGCACGCATAGTTGTATTGCAATAAATAAACACGAGTAAATATACCGGGATCCTATAAATGTTTCAGAGGCTGCAAGTTTTCAAAGTATACTTGTCGATGCACAAACATAGATTGAGGTCTTCAAAAGATTTCAACATGAACGTGTTTTAATACAGTAAAATTTGCATACATAATAAAAGGTAAACATACAGTTAGAAAATTGTTCATTTGGGCGGATGTTTGCACAATGTTATATTCACAATTCAGATCTTATAAATAATTATGAGATTGCAAGATTTATTTTAACAAAAACATTACTTTTTATGTTGTATCTTTCCTGCATTTCCTACTGTTCCATCACTCTGTCACAAAATGTAAATAAGGCGACTTTAAGTAATGAACTCTAATAATATCTTAGAGATTTGGTAAAGTCTGCTGCGGTGAAACTCCTCTACTGCTTCCCTTTTAGCTCCGTGCTCCAGACTGATGAATTTGCTTTTGACTAAAATTACGTTAGTAGTTACGGGTTAGCACAGCCAGGTTTTTAGGCTTTAAATTTAAACTTGTAATATGAATCATTGTTGTCTTTCTAGCCCGAAAGAAGCGGAAGTTAATGTTGTTAACTTTTTAATTTCCTTTAACTTCGAATTGAAATGAAAATAAATGTTTTAGTTTGACTTTTACTTTCTTGTTGTTACTTTAGCATTCTAGGTTTGAAGGCAAAGATAGGACGATAATTCATCCTCCTGTCAAAGAAATTAGACCAGTGTTTAAATTAAATGAAACTGAGTTTAACTTTCCGATACAACCTAACTAGTCTTGTCCTCGACATATCGATTTTACACTCAAGAGCCAAAACATTATGACCACCTGACAATAACGAGTTGGGACACCTTTGGCGCGCAACACAGCTTCAACCTGCCTTGGCATGGATGCCACAAGTTCTTGATAGATGGCCGGAGGCAGATTGTACTAGATGTTGTAGCAACTGTCACGCAAATCCGAGATATTGCGAATTGGTGGTCTTTGACCTCTGAGCTGCCGTTCCATGACATCCCAAATGTGTTCTCGGATTGAGATCCGGTGAGTTAGGCGGCTAGGACATTAACTGGAAATAAGCATCATGTTCCTGGAACCACTCCAACACAATTGTAGCCTTGTGACACGGGGCGTTGTCCTGTTGGAACATTCCATTTCCAGCTGGAAAAACTGAGGCCATGTAAGGATGCAACTGGTCCGCAATGATGTTCAGATACCCTGTAGCATTTATGGTCTGTTCTATCACAACCACGGGTCCCAGAGACGCCCAAGAGAACGTGCCCCAGAGCATAATACCACCACCACCGGCCTGTGTACGACCTACTGTGCATTGAGGGAGCAACTATTGTAATGGAAGACGGCCATTGGCGTGATGAATGACAAACCGTGATTCATCTGACCAGGAAACTCTCTCCCACTGATCCATGGACCAGTCGTGATGTTCCCGGGCCCAGCGCAGGCGCAGTTGGCGATGACGCTTGTCAGCAAAGGCACACGAGTGGGACGTTTGCTGCGTAGCCCCATATCCAACAGTGTCTGTGTGCTGAACTCTGTGCTCCGATACTTTTCTACTTGGCCCTGCATTGTATTCGGCTGTCAGCTGAGCCGCTGTCTGGCTCCGGTTTTGCTTTAATATGCGAGACAGTCTTCGACGACCTTTTTCTTTGATAACGTGGGGACGTCCAACACCAAGTCGTCTTTTGCTGGTTTCACCGTCATTTATCCGCTTTTCATACGTACTAACAACTGTAGATCGCGAACAATCCACGAGTCGTGCAGTTTCGGAAATACTTGTTCCGAGCTTTCGAGCCATTACAATCTGCCCTCTATCAAAGTCCCTTAGATCCGCAGCGTTTCCCGTCACACACAGAAGTAAGTGAAAGAATGATTCTTCAGGATCTTGGATCTTGGATCTTCGAACATTTAAGAAGTATCAGTCGTGAGACTCTTACTAATATAAATCCCATCGATGACTTCATGGGTAAATCATGAGCTTTAATAAAAGCTTTTTTGGCAATAACCTATGTCAAAAATGATGTTGTATTCTTCATTCACATGCTTCAACTGTACATATTAAAAAATTATTTAGAAAAAATTTTTAAGTCACATAAAAATAAACTGTAACATATAAAAAATAAAATACAAGTAGTAGAAAATTCTGGAGTAAATAATGAGAAGAAAAAATATATTACAAGTCCTATTTGGTATTTAACTGTTCGGTTAGGACCGAACCTACGATCTCGTTGAGCAAAAAGTTCCGAGGTCTGTACCGCTCGGCTGCGTCTTCCACCTGATCAATTTAGCACTTAAAAGTACTTAAACAAACAGTTCTAGTGCAACAGTTCTAGTAAACAGTTCTAGTTCCTTCTGCAGGGCGAAATCAAGCTTCTCGTTCTCGTTGGTTACTTTGGTAAATTTATGATACAGATCTTTTAATTTGAAAATAAGGGATTTAAATTCATCTAGGTTTTTGACTTCTGATATTTTGGTTTTTTCGGTCTCGTTTTCTTTAGGTGCTGTAACATTCGCGTAAGTTTTCTTATTGGTATCTTCTTTAATTGGTTCGGGGTTTTGTTTATTGAAATTTGGAAAATCTTCTTTTTGTGGAATTTTCTGCTTTTTTTTTGGTATTTTTTACTAGGATGTTCAGGACAATCAATACTTGTAGCGGCGTGAAAACCACTACAAAGCACGCATCTTGCAGGAATTTCTTTTTTATCTTTAATCGGGCATTGGAAAGATAGGTGATTTTCAAGACATCTTACGCATCGTGGTTGATTATGACACGCTCTCTGCGTGTGTCCGTATCGTTGACAACGATAACACTGTACGGGACCAGGTCTAGAGTTGTATCCAACAATTCTAACTTTCATATCGCTGATGTGCGTTATGTTAAAGATTTCTTTTTCTTGTGGTGTTCTAGGTGTTTCGACGTAAAAATTGGGAGTATAGTGGGTATTCCGTCTCGCATTCTTTGTAGCTGGTGAATTTTTAAGACTGTGATTTTATGTAGTTTAAGTTCTTCTTTTATTTCTTCGATAGGGGTTTGTGCAGATAAGCCTTTAATTACTGTTTTGAGATTCTTTTCTTTGGTTAAGAGAAAAGTGTGGAATGGGATAGGTGCTTTTTCGAGATAGTCTTGTACGGTGCGGAAGTCATCTTCGTTAAAAAATTGAACTCTGATGTTGTCACCTTCAATTTTCGTTTCAAGCTTAGTGATTTTTAAATTTTCTTTTATGTGTTTACGAATTTCCGGCCAGTTATTGTTTTTAAGATCTGTAATGACTATTGGTGGTATTTTGGTATCTTTTGGATAAGGGCTGTTAGGTTTTTTAGGCTTTTCCGTTTGAGGGGTCATATCGATGTCATCATTATTTGTATCAAGCATTTCTTCATTATTAAGAGAGTCAAATCGTGAGGAAGTGCTGATTGTTTGAGAGCTGTATGAAGATCCGCTATCGCGACGCGATCTTTTGGCTGGCTTTACTATAGACCAATCATTTGCGCTATTGCTAGCGGAAGGCGGGAACTGTGCAATAATATTATCTACATCTCTTTTAGGGATGAAAGAATAAAGTTTCTGTTCTTGAGTTTTAAGTTCGGCTTGCATGGATCGTCGGAGTTGGACGCTTTCTTTAGTTATAGGAAGTTGTTGTACTTTTTCTATGGCATCTTTAAGTTCTTGAATATGATGGACAATTTGTTGTACTTCATTGTCAAAATCAGACGTAGGCCTCGGCTTATTAAGGCATTTGCCTTTGTTATCTATCGACATTCTGCTGGCTATCTGTTTTTCCGTGAGAGCAAAATCATACTTACAAAAGGAATCAAGTAGAGAGAGAGCAAAAAACAAGACTTCACTCTATGAGTGAAGCAATCCAAGTGATGTGATTCTTCAGTCTAGTCTAGTCTGTGCGACTATAGCCGAAATGTCGCGCGGCTGCGCAACTTGTCCGGCTCTTGAAAATAAGCCCAAAGGGCACATGACGTTGCAGTTTCTTGACAAGTTTAGAGAGGTCAAAGGTGTTTACAGGGGGCGACCATGTGTCGCAAGGCCTTTAAAGGCGCGCACAATAAGAAAATCGCAAAGCAGGAGCCGTGAGGATCTGTGTGAAATGTTTGTGTACATGAACATCAAGAAACACAGACAAAATCCAACAATTTCAATCTTGACATTTGAATTTAAGACACATCATAAAAAATAAACATATAATACTTTATTACATACATACTACTGAAACGTAAAAGGAAATACATTAATTACAATTGAAAATTAAAAATAAAAATAAAATAATTATATTATATACAATATGTACAAGAGCAGTGCGTACCCATCATGAAAATTTTACGTTGGGAAATTTAAGTCCCTGGCGAGGTGGGCCGCGAGTGGTGTTAACGAGGCATCTTCATTAAGAATCACATAATCCAAGACATTAAGATCAGTCATGGGTACACATTCCTGAGCCTTATTAAAGAAATTGTTGTTAGCATTATGCAAATACGTCTCGACGGATTCCATTTTCAAGTCACGGTGTAGAGTGTGATTTGAAACGTAACAATGTGCACTAGCTATCATTCGAAGAGCTTTATTTTGTAGAATTTGTAACTTGTCTATCTCCTTCTTCTGAACAGTTGCCCAGGCGGGAGAGGCATAAGAGAAGATAGGACGTATGATAGATATATATATGTGTCTTTTCCTTTTTAAGTCTAATCTGGAAGTCGCAGACAGAAGCGGCGTGAGACTTCGTAAGACTCCGATAGTTTTTCCTCTAATGCAGTTAATATGTTCTTTCCAGAGGAAATTTGAACAATATTTTAGTCCAAGGTAGGTAGCACTTTTGACAACAGGCACTACAGTGTCAAAGAGTATCAGTTGTGTTGTCAAGGGATGATTCATCTTATTTTCTTAAAGATTAGCAGTTTGGACTTATCAGCATTGATTGCTATTTTCCATTTGGCGCACCAATGTTCCAGCTTAGGCATAAATCTCTGCAGTTTCTTTAGGGCAAAATTCGGTGTCCCAGACTTGACAGCGAAAGCTGTATCATCTGCGTAGCACCCCATGAAGAAGTTTTGATCAAGGTGTTCAGCAGGTAAGTCTGCTACGTAAAAAAGATAGAGTACTGGCCCTAAAATAGATCCCTGTGGGACCCCGGCCTTTACTTCTTTCATAATCGATTTACTTTCGCCAATTTGAATGTGGAAAGTTCTGTTTGTCAGGAAAGAATAAATAATTTTAATCAGCGCATCACTGAACTTTAAGCTGATTAACTTATAAATAAGCCCCTCATGCCAGACGCGGTGTGATTCTTCAGACTCTCCAGCAGCAGTTAAATACCACTTTCACCTGATCACGTGCCTTCCACGTCATCCAGGCGCGTTCATCGCAAAATGTAGGGCTGGTCATAATGTTTTGGCTCTTGAGTGTATGTCAACGTACTTAAAACATTTTTAGATATTTGATATTTTAGATTAAAAAAAATGTTTGCAGCTAAATTGGATACATAATAAAGAACATTTTAGAAAATTTAAAACATTTTGCTTGTGCAAAGTACTTAAAAATACCGTGCTTCTTTCACTGCAATTATGAAGTAAAGGAATTTAGTAGTTTTCTATTGATAAAATGCCCGAAAGGTAATTATTCTGAGTCACGAAACGAATTTGGCAATGTTATTAAAATATGCTTTATGACAGTTGTAAATGAAAAATTAGATAAAAAGTGGAAATTTTTATTAACAGAGATTCACGAAAAACAAAAACAAGAAATATATAAGCCCTTCAAGACAGTTTGGATCAAGCAGTTGTAAGCAGACAGTCAGTAGTGGATCAAGCAAGTTGTAAGTTTTAACAGTTTATACTAAATGGATAGTGACATTTATATTAATTTTCAATATATTAATTTTCATAACTTTCTTAAAATATTATGCATTGTTGATAAAATACCAACTAATATATTTAAAAATACATTATTTTTAGTAACTATATAACTGAACATGAATGCTAAACAAAAGAAATTCTACAGATACAGCTATTCAATTTTGCAATTAAAAAAAAGGGGGGGGGTAATTTTTAATGAAACCGCAAGAAGTTATTGTAAATACGAATATAAATGTTCAGATTTTGATTCTAACGTTGATTAAAAAGTGGAGACACAAAATTTGGTATAATTTTTTGCTTTGCAATTTTATGTAATTTGAGTATATTTTACCATTTCTACTCTCTGTATATAAAATGCTTAATTTAAATCGCTCCGAAAGGTTTTCCCTTGACAAAATTGCGCAGAAGTAATGAATTCTAGCAATCTGAAAAACAAGCTGCAAAACGTATGCCACATGGGATGGCAACGTTTTGCAAAATTGGCCTGTGCTTGTAGTTCCTTAAATGTTTTAACAGTGATAATATTTGCACAGAAGAGGAAGTTCAAAATAGCTAATGCTATAAAGCACTTTTGATACTGCAGTTCCAGAGTAAAAAATTATACGAAGTATAAACAATAATGTAATATTAAAGCAGTAAAAGTTATCGCGAAAAAGCCTACAGTAATAACTGCAAAACGATATATACTTCAAAATCAAGAAGGGATTAGAAAAGACTCAAAAATTTTGAACTCAAAAATTTTCATATTATGTACGCAAAAAATCAATAACATTTCAAAGACAAAGAAATTATATACAAAAAAATTGCAATAAATGGTAAATTAGCCCAACTCGAGGTTTCACACGGACTTATCAAGTGAAAAGCGTGAGAAAACTCGAATCTAGCTAATACCATAAGCGCGTTTCGTCAAACGAAAACAATTGAGACAGAAGGCGGAAGTTCATTAATAGAATTAATATAAAAGCACTTTATGGTGTTAAAAAACAGAACGATGACACAAGAATGCAAAGCATGGTGAATCATCACTTTTCCTTTTTTGGGAGATCCGTTGATTTACTTGTTTTTCTTCTTCTTCTTCCCCCCCCCCAAATTTCTTTACAAGTCTTTTTTTTTTCTTTTTGTGATTTTGATTGTATACAGTAATAAGTACGATTATATATAATAAGTACTACTGTATATACTAAGTATGTATATGGTAATAAGTACTCCTAATATTATTATTAGCAGTAATATTCGTATCCTTAAATGTGCTCTCTTAAAAATAAAGGAAAGAAATAAAATCATAACTTGAATGAACAAAACCACCTGCAGGCAGTCATGGAATTTAGTTTCTTAGGAAAAAACTTATAAAATTAAAAACCTATTTAAAATTTAAATAACTTTTAGTGAAATTTAAGTCAGTGTTGCTTGAAAACATTTGTGCTTATATCATATTACGAAAAAGATACATGAATGAAAACAGAAAATGAAATAAATAAATTCGCTATGAAATAAATAAAATGTTAATTTGTTTAAACATATGTTAATGTAACACGGTTTTAATTGGTACATTTTTCTGTAACATTTTGCATGTATAATTCATTTTTTTAAATAAATATTTTTGCAACGTATATCGGCCTACATTTGTAGATATTACTCGATATCCTGAAAATGCTGCATTCTGACTTATCATGTAAGGACTGCGTTCTGCTTAATTACCCAGGGTCTGAGCAGTTCCAACTTTCAGGTACATAGATTTTGAATGGTGGATGCAATACTTGCGTATGCGTGGTAGTTACTCCATTTTTTTTTAAGGGGAAATCAATAGGGCGTGACATTCAACGATCTATAATGTTTTAGCTTGTTGAAAATAGCCGCTTTATTCGAATTTCATTTTTACCATATTCGATACTCAACGGCGTTGTCATAACATGCATTGCAACTGAAATTATTTTATAATATGACAGCTGTGCATTAGCTGAATGGGAAAGGTTTTAAAACTTCCTCATGTCTACGAATAGATCGAATTATTCCAAGTAGCTGGTCTATTTAATATAAATTTAACTCATCTCTTGCAAGCAAAAGACGTAAAATGGATCAAGTTATACAGCCATTAGGTTTTCTCAAAGCGGGAGATGTGAAAAATGAGCAATGTCCCAGCCGGGACTCGAACCTGGACATCTCCAATACGTGCCGAGTGTGCCACCGTTATATCCTGAAGGCATGCAGGAAGCAGAAAATACTTTATAAAATCATTAACTAAAGAGTTCAGAGCGGGTAAATCGAAATTCACGGGCTGAAGAGCGCAAATAAAAATACAAAAATATCAACTAGGCTTAAAATAACGTTAAAACAGTGAGGGATCCAAATAGGAACTGATAATTCAGCTTTCAGATTTTTAGACAGACTTATTAATAACATCATTTAACTCTAACATATATGTAACATTGCTGATATTTTTTTTTACAAATATCATCCTTTATAATATATTTTATTCCACTCAGATATGAAAATGTTTGTGAAAGCATTATACATTTTGTAATACTAACGAACATAACTTGATTCACACTAGAAGCGTCTTCTCTGAAGGACGTAGTTTTGCAGTGATTTGAATCGGATAATGGCCAAGCAGATAGGAGCTGTCTATCTGAGGGAAGGGATGCCGGTTGTGGGAGCTTTTTGAGGTAGACTGTCTCGTATTCAGTTACTCATACAGAAAACCACATAGGTCACAGGCGGCCGGCTCGTTCGCCGAGATTTGAGCCCTTCAGCGATTTAACCGCCCGACCGCTTGTGGACGTACAATTTTGTAATCAAATATTCTATATTATTTATCGATATTAGCATAAACTTTCCTTCTTTGTTACGTTTGTAATTACTTTAGCTAATATAAATTTCGTAAAATATCTTTGTATGGTT